GAGATATCCAGGTGTCCTTATGTAAAGAAATAACTAACTAAATAAGTGGGGGGAAAAGTAACAAGTTTTCCTTCCAGAAGAATTTTAATTAATGTAAAAGGAATTAGAGAAATAGTAAATCACCATTAGAATGCCACAATATTAATTGCCACAGGAAATATCTAGCAATGGATACTAAAATTGGTTTAAGCAGAAACATGATATTTGCATAGTTTCAAAGTATAACCCCCCAAGTATTTATTAATTACAAAGAGAAAAAAGTAACTTTATAATAGAGAAACATGGCAGACATTATGTTAACCAAGCGATCAAAGTTAGCATCACCTTAACATTACTGAAAAATGGCTAACATACTTAAAAATGGCTAACATGGTACATTTTATAAGTTATTTACCACAATAAAAGAAAAAAAGATTAATATCACCAGTAGTATGACATTGGCATCACATACCTGCTGACATGATACACTGAAAAGAATACAATATCATTTCTGCAGTATTTTTCCCAATAATGCATAACCTCAGTTTAATAATGAGAAAACAATCCCAAACTGAGGGGCATTCTACAAATAACTGGCTAGTACTCTTCAAAAGTCTCAAGTCATGATAGGTAAGGTAAGAGTAAGGAACTGTCACAGGTGGTAGAGAGAAAGGAAACAAATGCTTTGCAGGATCCTAGATTGGATCCTTAAATAGAAAAAGGACATTGGGGGAAAACTGTTATATATGAATAAGGCCTGTAGTTTACTTCATAGAATTATACCAAGGTTAATTTCTTAATTTTGATAACTACTATGGTTATGTAAGATGTTAGCATTCAGGGAAGTTAGGTGAAGGATATACAGGAACTATCTATAGTATTTTTGCAATTTTATAAGTCTAGAATTATTTCCTAATAAAAAGCCTTTTTGTACAAGACACTTTTCAAAGTTCTTGGGTCATAGCTTTGAATACATATAAATAGTTCTAATATCACTCGACACTTTGGAAAGAGTAATTGTCCTAATTATTTACATTCTTTGTCTTAATTTGCTGATGGAGACCTGGACTTAATCTCAGCTAGTGTATAGAGTTCTCTCCAAAAACAAGTGGCCTACTTCACATTCAGTGAATTGATATATTCTTAAGTTGTCAGGTAGGATTGGAATTTTCTTGGGAACTTGAAGTCTAAATAAAATTAGATTAGAGTGACAAAATTTTCACCTAAGGCAAAAATAAGAGAAATAGTGGCAAAATATTTTTATATTAAATCAATACATTTTTTAAATTTAAAGGATGGTTTCTTTTATGAGATTATTATCTTACCTTTTTTTATTATTTTTTTGAGACGGAGTCCTGCTCTGTCACCAGGCTGGAGTGCAGTGGCACGATCTCAGCTCACTGCAACCTCCACCTCCTGGGTTCAAGCAATTCTCCTGCCTCAGCCTCCCAAGTATCTGGGACTACAGGCGCATACCACCACACCCAGCTAATTTTTGTATTTTTAGTAGAGACAGGATTTCACCATGTTGGCCAGGATGGTCTCCATCTCTTGACCTTGTAATCCGTCTGCCTCAGCCTCCCAAAGTACTGGTATTACAGGTGTGAGCCACTGCGCCCGGCCCATCTTACCATTTTTATATTAAAATGCCATTTCGCTTATGGACTAATGGTGGCGTGAAGTGGTAGGTTTTATTTCATTTAATGTGAAAAAATAAAAAGTTGGCAAATCTACATATTCTGTCCATTGTGTGTGTGTGTGTGTGTGTATGTGTTCATGAACTTCACTGCTATTTGAATAGCAAAGTCTTAAAATCATGAATCTACACCATTTTCTTTCCCTATCCTTGACATGAAGGCAGGCTCCATTGTACGCCTGTAGTCCCAGCTACTCAGGAGGCTGAGGCAGGAAGATCACTTGAACCCAGGAGACAGAAGTTGCGGTGAGCCGAGATCGTACTACTGTACTCCAGCCTGGGTAACAGAGCAAGACTCTGTCTCCAAAAAATAAATAAATAAATAAATAAATATTCTAGCTCCTTTGTCATTTAAAGGAAATAGAAATTTCAGCATGCCTTCACCAATTGGAACACACATACACTGGAACACTATTCTATGTTTTGTACGAGAAGACCTTTACTCTAAATCAGCAGAATCATAACTCAATGTATATAAAATATTTAATATTAAAAATAAAAGCAATTCATTGATATAGTGCATTTGCTTCATCTATTCTTTAACATTTTAATATTGAAGGCAGCCATAGGTTATACCAGTTCTGCCCTGAGCATCTCCAACGTTTAAAAAATAACAGCACTAAATTTTAGTGTATTCCTGGCCAACAGGTAAACAGCCAGGTGATGCCATTAGGTATCAGTCATTAAGTCCAAGAATGAAGTTTATATTAATAAATATGATTTGGTATATTTAAGAAGTATTTTAAGAGATAATGCTCTACCCTTAAAATTCCAGGTACAAACATTGTGTCCTCCTGTGCAGGAAGGAAGAGGATGTATTCTAGTGACTCTGAATTTACACAAATTTGTATAAAATAAGGCACAAAATTAAAGCCTCACTAAAGCACACTTTTTTTTTTTTTTTTTTTTTTTTTGAGATGAGGTTTCACTCTATTGCCCAGGCTGGAGTGCAGCAGTGCAACCATAGCTTACTGCACCCCTGAACTCCTGGCCTTGAGTAATTCACTCCTTCAGACTTCTGAGTAGCTGGGACTACAGGTATGAACCACCATGCCCTTCTCTAAAGCAAACTTTTGACTTTCAAGGCACAGTTAGTAGTATTGGGAGAATTCCTGAAATATGTTAATGTTTTAACATTGGCTTATTTTAGAATGAGAGGGCTCAGAATAGCTTATGAAGGCAAAACAGTGGTGATCAAAGAGAAGCCTAACTTGTCTCCCCACTCCATTTCATTTTATGAATGATTTACTAAAAATGCCACTTTTTCTCAGTTTGCATGTATTAACTTCAGAATACTCAGAGAGGTAAATGGCTTACAATCAAATCTGGTACTATGTGAAAATGTTTCTTTCCTTAATGCCACTTAATTAGTATTAATGAACTTTTTCATTTTAATGTCTTTTTATTTTGTATTTACAAACTACAAAATGGTTTACAATAAATGTTTTGTACACTTAATGGCACAAAATAGTTTAGAGTGTTCCGTAACACTTATTAACTACAGCAGGCCTTATTTATTTATTTATTTTTTGAGACAGCGTCTCACTCTGTTGCCCAGGCTGGAGTGCAGTGGCACAATCTCAGCTCACTGAAACCTCCACCTCCAAGGTTCAAGCGATTCTCCAGCCTCAGCCTCTGAGTAGCTGGGATTACAGGCACGTGCCATCATGACCGACTAAATTTTGTATTTTTAGTAGAGATAGGATTTCGCCATGTTAGCCAGGCTGGTCTTGAACTCCTCACCTCAGGTGATCCGCCTGCCTCCGTCTCCCAAAATTGGGATTACAGCCGTGAGCCACTGTGCCCAGCCATCCTACTTTATTTTTATCCTCATCCACCCTCCATTTCCCTGTTTTCAAATAGATTCTCTCTGGGTCTGCAAGGATAGACATCTGGATATGAAAGAGGGAGATTTGAAACTTGCCTGGCTCCAAACAATCGTTAAGAAATCAAATCTGGGCCGGGCGCGGTGGCTCAAGCCTGTAATCCCAGCACTTTGGGAGGCCGAGGCGGGCGGATCACAAGGTCAGGAGATCGAGACCACAGTGAAACCCCGTCTCTACTAAAAATACAAAAAATTAGCCGGGCGCGGTGGTGGGCGCCTGTAGTCCCAGCTACTCAGGAGGCTGAGGCAGGAGAATGGCGGGAACCCGGGAGGCGGAGCTTGCAGTGAGCCGAGATCGCGCCACTGCACTCCAGCCTGGGCAACAGCGTGAGACTCCGTCTCAAAAAAAAAAAAAAAAAAAAAAAAAAAAAAAAAGAAATCAAATCTGGCTGGGCACAGTGGTTTACGACTGTAATCCCAGCGCTTTGGGAGGCCTAGGCGGGTGGATCACCTGAGGTCAGGAGTTCGTGACCAGCATGGCCAACATGGTGAAACCCCGTCTCTACTAAAAATATCAAAAAATTAGCTGGGCATGGTGGCGCACACCTGTAATCCCAGCTACTCAGGAGGTTGAGGCAGGAGAATCACTTGAACCCAGGAGGCAGAGGTTGCAGTGAGCCGATATCGTGACTTTGCATTCCAGTCTAGGCAACAAGAGCAAAACTCTGCCTCAAAAAAAAAAAAAAAAAAAAAAAAAAAAAAAAAAAAAAAAAAAAAAATCTACATCTAATTTGATTTTGGAGAACATTCCTAAACTGAATCTTTTTATCCTTATTTCTGCCCTTACTCACATTTGCAAATAAGTGAAATCCTTTTCTTTCTCCACCCTTCCTCCCACCATGATTATTTGGGAAGACCACCATTTACCAGGCATTTCCATGATTATGATTATGAAAGATTGCAGGCAAGGCATTGATCAAAGATAATCACTCATCATGGACAAGAATTTAGAGATTCCTGAATAATAAACTGTATCTCTGCTTGTCAAACCTAATCACTTCCCAATATATTAAAAAGGGAAGGTAGTTCTCTTCCCTATGCATGCATAACTTTCTACTGGAAAATAATTTAGAGGCAAATAAAAGGATCTCTCTATGGAACTAAGCATTTCCTGGGCCAGGACCAATGAACTTCTAGGGGAAATGTGAATAATGGCTTATTCACTACTTGCTAGCACAGAGATGGAAAAGCAGAAGTTCCTACCACATGTGCATTTATAGAGGGTGACATTTCTTTAAACAGAATTCCAACTGGAGAAAGGGTTATAGATAAATGATCTGGGGATCAGGATAACTGCTTTGTATTGAGTAAGCCTAACCTCACTCTGGGTTTCCCATTTGCACCAAACTAAGTACTCTTATCTTCGCTAAAGCTGCAATCTACTACCAGTTTTTGTTTTAATGAGGATGCAACATCTTTGCATACCAAGTATAAAATTCCGCTTCTCTTCTCTCACTGAGGCTGTAAATAGGAGCTACATATAGTCATCAGATACCTGGTCATGGCCCTCTGATCTCCGAGACTTATTCCTTTCAGAATTTAGAGGCAAACTGGAGCCAGCCTCCATTTTTATCTCCCCAGTGGCATGAGGGAAAGGGAAGTTGGGCATAAAGCGCTTAAGAAAGCGAAACTCACTATTACCAGTGCCAGTGGCTGAACACATTTCATATGGACAAGGCTGGGATAAGGATCCATTGCCTTGTCCTTGTACCAGATTGTTAGAGAAATTACAGTCATCATAGAAATGCTCTTGAATTGTAAACTTTTCTCTATATTTAATCTTTTGGTAGACATGTATAATGAAGATCACTGTGACAGAGAGGAGAAAGAGAAAGGAGAGGATGGCCAGAGAAATTACCAAATATTTAGTGGATGGATTTACCTTTCTGGAATGTTTGGTTGGATCCTGGAACTGCAGGTAGGGCTCTGAAAAGCCATCTACCAGCAGGATGTTGAGTGAGACAGTAGTTGAAAGAGCTGGTTGGCCGTGATCCTGAATAAGAATGATCAATTTCTGCATCATGGGGTCTCTCTCAGATATCTGCCGTAATGTACGGATTTCTCCATTTTGTCTTTGAACACAAAATAACCCAAGGTCAGTGGCCTTAAGTAGATGATATGAAAGCCAAGAATTCTGACCTGAGTCACCATCCACAGCCACCACTTTGGTTACCAGGTAGCCTGCCTCTGCAGACCTGGGCACCAGGTCATTGTAGGGCAAGGTGCCATTCTGCAGTGGGTACAAGATCATTGGACGATTGTCATTGTCATCTAGGACAACCACTCTGACAGTAGCTTGGCTATTCAGTGACAGGAAGCCCCCATCAGTTGCCTTTACCACAAACTGAAAATCTTGAATGGCCTCATAATCCATGGTTCTCAGTGCGTAGAGCTTTCCATTGTCTGAATTTATGGATATGTAAGCAAAGACTGATAGATCTCCATTTTTTGGAGGCAACAGAGAATAAGTTATTTGGGCATTCTCACCCAAATCAAGATCCTCAGCATGGACTTGGCCAATAAAAACTGCAGGACTATTATTTTCTCGAACAGTCAAGATATAGGAATCTTCCCGAAATATTGGAGGATTGTCATTAACGTCAGATATTAGCACCTCTATCATAGTCTCAGCAGATAAGCTAGGTGGTCCAGTATCCATGGCAACAAGGGTGATATTATAGCCTGAGACCTCCTCCCGATCCAAGCTTCTGTCAGTGACCAGCGAGTAAGAATTCCCGAATGTAGGTTTGATTACAAAGGGAAGGTCTTCTCTGAGGAAGCAGGTGACTTTTCCTCCCACTCGAATGTCCCGGTCTCTGATAGTGAAAAGGGCTACTACCGTCTGTGGTGGTGAGTCTTCAGGGAGTGGGCTGGACACAGAGGAGACCATCACTTCGGGAGGATTGTCATTCACATCCACCACTTCTACCAGGACTTTGCTGTGGGCAGAGAGGCCTCCACCATCTGTAGCTTGAATGTCAATGTCGTATGTTTCAATGTCTTCAAAATCTAGGGTTCCTCTTAGTCGAACCTCTCCAGTTTGAGAGTCAATCTGAAACGTCTTGAGAATTGCTTCTGGGTTTTGAGCTAAAGAGTAAGTTATCGCTTTGTTCGTGCCCTCGTCTAGGTCCATGGCAGTCACCGTGGCCACCAAAGAGCCATTGGGGCTGTTCTCTGATACCTGGGCTGGGTACACTGGTCGCGAGAACTGGGGCACGTGGTCGTTGACATCCAGAACCACCACGCGGATGTGAGCTGTGCCAGACTTGGGCGGTGACCCGCCGTCCACCGCCATAATTGTCAAGTTGACTTCAGGCTGCTCCTCTCGGTCCAGGGGTTTGTTCAGCACCAGCTCAGCATATTTAGGCCTGTGGCTGCGGAAGCGGGTGTGCAGGTGGAAATAGCCGTTGGCACTAAGGGTGTAGTTTTGGAGACCGTTGAGGCCCACGTCCAGATCCTGGGCACTCTGCAGAGGAAAACGTGAACCCAAGGGGGTGCTCTCCGGAATCTTTAAAAGCGGCTCCTTGTTTAGGAAAACCGGGGCATTGTCATTGATATCAAATACCCTGACCTCGGCACGGAAGGACTGCAGCGGCTCCACCAGGATTATTTCAAAGTGCAGAACACACGGGTCGGCTTTGCCACAAAGTGACTCCCGATCCAATTTCTCCTTCACAAACAAATCTCCTGTCTTGCGGTGGAGCCGGAAGTGCATTTTGTTGCCCTCGGAAACCAGCCGCGCCCTGCGCGCAGCCAGCTTCCCTACCTCCAGTCCTAGGTCCTTAGCTACGTTGGCCACAAACGAACCGCTCTCCATTTCCTCCGCCACTGAATAGCGGATCGTTGTCGCACCCCCCACAGATACGCACAGAAAAATAAGAAGAGATCCCACTTGCCTGCTTTGCAAAGATTTTCTGCGCGCACCCGCCATCAGTTCTCACAAGCGCACTCTCTGCAATCAAAGCCAACTGTTGCGGATATACTTTCACTTTTCTGCAACAGATTACTGCAACAGTTGCTCTCCGCTTCACCAGCCTCTAACCGCAGCACCATCAAAGGCTAGCCGAGCCGATTAAGCTGTTTTGCACTTGAAAGAAAATTTGCATTGAGCGACTCAACTCCCCAGTCTAGCGAATGTATTAATAGGTATGTTCTCATTCCGGAGAGTTAGGTAGAGGTTGAAAGTTTGTTGCCAAAGCAACCACAGACTCATCTGTTAATTCCCTTTCAGGAAAAAAAAAAAAAAAAGTCCTTGGGAATTGAGAAGCCAATGAGATTAGTCGTTCAAGCTGAAGTCATTCTATCTGCTCGCTTTCTGGAGCCACTGAAGCAGTGGACGAACAGCAACAAGTTTAAGCTACATCTGCACACTCTGCAGTCCATCCAGAGACGAAGAAAGAAGCACAAGGATCCTGCAGGGTCTTCTGAAGCCCAAGCCAAATATATGAGGCAGGGAGCTGGAGAATGTGGAGGAAGTGGTCAGTAGGAAAAGGAAAGGGAACAAACAGACATTCTCCTTCAGAAACTTGAGGTCCAGTAGGTACACTTACAGGGGACTAAGCCAACTGGCCTCTTGATTTGCGCTACGCTATCATGCTACTTCTAAGTATATGCTCCCCCGCAAAAAAATATCTGTATACACGTGCACAAAGGGAGCAGCTGGCTTGTCACTTATGATTATAATGACAGTAGTATCTATTGGATATGATTTCCATGTACTAAAACTATGACAAATTATTTACATGCGTTGTTTAATACTTCAACAACTATATGATTTAAAAAAAAAAAAAAAGACAAAGAAAGTGAGATGGGAGAGGTTATGTCAAGGTCCCCTACCTAGCAAATGTTAGAAATAAAATTCAGTTTAATTTTGTCTGACTCCCAAGTCTATGCTCTTAATCAGTACACTACTCTGCTTCCCAGATAATGTAATGAATAAATCAAATGAAGATAAATATTTGGTTTTGGATTTTAAAGCAAATAAAATGATTGCTTACACATATTGAAAATGGCCTACTAGAAATATAAGAGATATTTGTTGAGAGCTTCCTTTATGATCATAGGATAATAGAATGTTTAAGAATAATAAGACATTTCAGAAAGATGAGATCCAGTCTCCTTCTCACCCACCCTCCACTTTAAAAAAAAAAAAAAAGATGAAGAAACTGAGGCCCAAAGTGACGAAGTCACTTGCCCAATTCATACAGCTACTCATGGCAATGTAAGAACTAGAACTTGTCTTCTGCTGCTGTCTCGTGCTCATTACCTAAAACATTTGATTCCTCATTTGTGCTCAATATTTTATGTCGCAGGTGCTATACAATTATGGCCACTTAAGAGAAATCTAAACTATATTTTCCAATAGGAAAAAAGAAGGAATGAAAATAGAAAGTGTACAGAACACTGATTACATCCTGACATGAGGGAGTTAATGAATCTTTCAATCTCTGTCAGATTTTAACACCTGGCTTAAGTGTGCATCCTTAAAACAATTTAGTTTTGCCTCTTTTGAGAACTGTATATCTTACATGAGTATGAGTGGAAATAAAATAAAACAAAACTATATATCAAGTAAAGTGTACAGTAGGTAATCCTTTGAATTTTGTTTCTCTCATTTTTTAGCTCAATGTAAGATTGGTGTTATCTTTAGCTCTAGTTCATTTATTTCCATTGCCATATAAAATTCCAATATATTGTCAATGACCTTTAGCTAGAGACCATCAGAAACACACCTGTAGTTGAACAAAGTTATGTTTACTGACTTATTGTAACAAAGGAAGCTGCACACCATAGAGAATCATGGAGCATCTCAGTGAAAAGGTGTTAGAAAGAACATACATTTGGTCTTGTGTTAGGTGATTTGGGGGAGGTTTGAAGCAGGGTGCTCTGAATTGGATGCCATTATAAGTGGAGTTAATTCTATGATGAGTATATTGATAATTCTTAGTAGAAGGTGAGAGGAATGGGGTGAGACTAACGCTGTCATTGGTAAATAAGCTGTAGTGACTAATATTAGCCAGAACAGAAAGATGTTTGGGCATTTTTGTGGATTGGACAATACTCCTTTTTGTCTGTATTTAGACACACTTATGATGTGCTCTCATTTCCCTCTTGCTCCATCATAGTCATAGTGTGGCCTTCTCTGATACTGGTGTCCTATGAAATCATTTTTAGTTCAACAGAAGATCACTATGGCCTAGCTGTTGAGTGTCAGGCCAGCTCCTATGGACTGCTTTTGTCTTTTTCAGTATGAATGCAGCAAAATTCATTTACCTATTTTATTATTCTACTGCTCATAGCATATCATTGTACATGTCACTTTGTGCACACGTATACAGATATTTTTTGTGGGGAGTATATATTAGAAGTATATATAAGTAGCATTGATATCATAGGGTATGCTCTTTTCAGCTTTACATGATGTCACCAAACTGCTTTCTCAGAAGTTGTACTGGCCAGGCGTAGTGGCTTACGCCTGTAATCCCAACACTTTGGGAGGCTGAGGTGGCCAATCACGAGGTCAGGAGTTCAAAACGAACCTGACCAACATGGTGAAACCCTGTCTCTACTGAAAATACAAAAATTAGCCAGGCATCGTTGTGCGTGCCTGTAATCCCAGCTACTCAGGAGGCTAAGGCAGGAGAATTGCTTGAACCCAGGAGGTGGAGGTTGCAGTGAGCGGAGGTCACGCCATTGCACTCTAGCCTGAGCCACAGAGTGAGACTCCATCTCAAGAAAAAAAAAAGAAGTTGTACTGATTTACATTCTCATCAGCAGTGCAACTTCCAGTTGTTCGAATTATTTCCAACACTTAGAATTACTAGTCTTTTAAAATTTTGACCATTCTGGTGAGTGACTGTGTTCATATGTAATTGATTAATTTGCATTTCTCATTAATTACTGATGAAGTAGGGCACTATTTAATATATTTGTAGTCATTGGAATATCCTTTTTTGGAAAGCTTTTGTTCAGTTCTCTTGCCTGTTTTTAACATTGCATTGTTTACCTTTTTCTATTAATTTCTATTCTTTATGTTCTGACTATGAGTCTTGAATACATTAAAAAAGATGTTTATTCTTGGTCAACATATATAAACAGAGAATAGACTTCAGCAATTTGGATAGAAAAAAAATGGAGTATACTACCCACCCACTAATATTACTTAGCATCATCAAAAAGGCTATTGGGGTGGTTTTTTTAAAAGGAAATATTTATTTAGTGATTCACAAATTATGCAGAAGCTTCTCACATCCTAGGAAGTCTTAATACAATCAATTTCAAAATAATTCATTAAAAAAATTGTAAGTTAAAAAAATACATTCTTGGCTGGGTGTGGTGGCTAAAGCTTGCGATCCTAGTACGTTAGGAGGCTGAAGCAGGAAGATCACTTGAGGCCAGGACTTTGAGCCCAGCCTGGATAACATAGCAAGACCCTTGTCTCTACATAAATAAATAAATAAATAAATAAATAAATAAATAAATAAAGTATGGTGACAAAGCCTGTAGTCCCAGTTACTTGAGGAGGAAACATTGCTTGAGGTTAGGAACTTGAGATTACAGTGAGCTATGACTGTACCACTGCACTCCAGCCTGGGTGACAGAGTCAGTATCTGTCTCAAAAAAAAAAAAAATCTTATGAGGTGAAGTATAAGCAATGCTGCTTTTCTTTTTTTATATTCTTTTTTGTTAGTTTATGTTTAATTGATAGACAAAATTATATTAATCATATACAACATGATATTTTATAGCATATTTATATTGTAGAATGACTAAATTCAGCTAATTAACATATATATTACCTCACATAGTTATTATTTTTGTGGTGAGAATACTTAACATCCATGTCTTGGGCATTTTTAAAGAATACAGTATGTTGTTATTAACTATAGCCACCATGTTGAGCAATAGATCTTTTGGACGTATTTCTCCTAACTGAAATTTTGTATCCTTTTGGCTCTCCAACCTCTCCTTCCTCATCCCAGCCCCTAGCAACCACCTCTACTCTCTAGTTCTATGAGACCAACTTTTTAAGATTCCACATATAAATGAGGTAACACCCTTATGAAAAACAATATAGAAGGACCTCAAAAAATTAAAAATAGATCTACCATAGAATCTAGCAATCCCACTACCAGGGATATTTTCAAAGGAAATGAAATCAGTATGTTGAAGAGATATCAGCACTCCCATGCATTGCAACATTAGTCACAATAGCTGAGATATAGAATCAGCCTAAGTGCCCATCAGTGGGTAAGTGATTAAAGAAAATGTAGTATATGTACATAATGGAATATTCTTCACCCTTCACAAAGAAGGAAATCCTGCAATTTGTCACAACATGGATGAACATGGGGGACGTTATGTTAAGTGACGTAAGCCAGGCACAGAAATACTGCTTTTCAATTCAATTCCTCTGAATCTTGATCTGTTTGGTTAGCCCCAGGCGATTTATTAAAATCTGCTTGATGGAATTAAAATCCAAAATATTTTCTTTTGCCTTGGAAAATGTTAGGAACTTTAAACATGGTGGCAGGTCTTTTTAAAGCCTGTATTCTTTCTGGTGAAGGTAGAATTGGGAGCCCACAGACTAAATCTATAGCCTCTTAGCTTGTAAAGTCAGGATCAAAACCTACATGTTGGGAAGAGGGACAATCCATAGTTAGTAGGATATCATGAAGTTTTGGGAGAACAAAAATTCACTTCAAAACTGTATCTGAGTACTAACTTTTAAACTTTAAAAATCTTATTTTGAAACATTTCAGAGTTTTGGAAGAGTTACAAGAGTGTTCGTAATCACTTATGACTTACCCATTGGTTTACCTTAACTAAAGTGTAATAAGGCTTCTCTTCTCCCCACAGGTCCCTGAACTTCAGCTGGCCCCAAAACTTGAGCAAGCTCTAAAAAGCAGAACATCTCCCACTAAACAGTTTATTCTGAGAACTAGCCAACCACAGAAGGGAAAATCATATCTCCAGTTAAAGTGCCCTGATCATGCCACCTGCTCATCCTACCCCCCTTGCCCTGTTCCCATACAAACGTCCTGCTAGCCCTGTTTACACCTTTTTTTTTTTTTTACTCCTTTTTTAAAATTTGATTTTTAGACATTGGAAGATTTCTGTGGTCTGAGGGTCTGTAATAAGTTTTTTTTTTAAATAAAGCTGCTCCTTACCTAAATCCAGATTTGTTTTTATTGAATATAATAATAAATGACCATATTACCTTCACCTAGATTTATCAATTTTGCTACATTTGTACACTTTCTTTTACATATTTATCTATTACTGTATTATATAATACATTATAATATATATGCACATACATTATTCAAAAATAGTTATCTCTTCCTCAATTTTTATGGGAGATGTATACCTCTCCGCTCCAATGGTGCTGAGTTTAGCTGCATGATATGCTTTGACTTTACCTTGGGTTCAATATACTTCCTTATCTCTTGACTCTGGAGTTGGCCATATGAGTTATTTTGGCCCTCAATGGGATGTTAAGAGTGTTGTAGTTTGAATTTGTCCCCCAGAAAGATATGTTGAAATCATAACCACTGGTCTTTGTGAATGTGACCTTATTTGGAAACAGAGTCTTAGCAAATGTAATCAAATTAAAATGAAGTCAAACTGGATTAGGGTGGGCCCCAAATCCAATGACTGATGTCCTTATAAGGAGAGAGATTTTGAAGACTCATGGACACACATAGGGAAGAAGGCAACATGATGACAGAGACAGAGGTTGGACTGATGCTGCTACAAGGATTGCCCACAACCACCAGAAACTTGGTAGAGTCAAGGAAGGGTCTTCCACTATGCCTTCAGGGGGAGTGGAACCCTGCTGACATCTTGATTTCAGACTTCTAGCCTCCACAACTGTGGAGTAAAATTCCACTGTTTTAAGTGGAATAAAATTCCACTGTTTTAAGCCACTCAATTTGTAGTCATTTCTTATGGAAGCTCTAAGGAAACTAATACACAGAGAGAAACAAGTTGTGCCTTGAAATGTGCTTGCATAATTGGGCTTGTCCTTTTGCTCTTCTGCTATCTTCACAAGAACATTCTCTGGATAGCCTATTGATCAAAGAATGATGAAAGACACATGGAACAGTACTGGACACAACCTGCATATTGAAGCGGAGCATGGCTGATCTCAGCCTAAATCTGCCGACCCCAAGACGCATGAATGGGAATCAATGTTGCTTTGAACTACTAATTTTTGAAGTATTTTGTTGCACTACATTCTGTGACAGTAGCTAACCTGTGTAATATGTAAACCTTTTATTTTGGCATAGTTAGCTTCAGACATTATTATATCATTCCTAAATATCTCAACATGTACCTCTTACAAACAGGGACAGTATCCTTCATAACCGCAATACAATTATCACACTCAGGAAGATTAACATGAATACGGTACTATTATCTAATACATACTTCATATTCTAATTTCCCCCGTTGTTCCAAGTATGTTCTTTGTGCTGTTTTTTTAAATGTAGGATACAATCAAGGATTGCACATTGCTTTTAGTTGTTATGTTTCTCTAGTTTACTTTAAACTGAACAGAGAAAACATTTTTATGATGCTGATTTTTAATAACACTAACTTCTTTTTCATGACACTGCTGTTTTTATTTATTTATTTAAAAAACTTTTATAGTAGGTTCCGGGGTACATGTGCAGTTTGTTATATGGGTAAACTCATGTCATAGGGGTTTGTTGTACAGATTATTTCATCATTCAGGTACTAAGCCTGGTACCCAATAGTTATTTTCTGTCATCCTCTCCCTCTTCCCATCCTCTACCCTCAAGTAGGCTTCAGTCTCTATTGTTCCCCCTCTTTAGGTCCATGAGTTCTCATCGTTTAGCTCCCACTTATACATGAGAACATGCAGCATTTGGTTTTCTGTTCCTGCATTAGTTTGCTAGAGATAATAGCATCCAGCTCCATCCATGTTCCCATAAAAGACATGATCTGGTTCTTCTTTATAGCTGCGTAGTAGTCCATGGTGTATATGTACCACATTTTCTTTATCCAGTCTGTTATTGATGGGCATTTAGGTTGATTCCATGTCTTTGCTATTGTGAATAGTGCTGCAGTGAACATTTGTGTGCATGTGTCTGTATGGTAAAATGATTTATATTTCTTTAGGTATATAGCCACTAACTGGATTGCTGGGTCGAATGGTAGTTCTGTTTTTAGCTCTTTGAGGAATTACCACATTGCTTTCCACAATGGCTGAACTAATTTACACTTCCACCAACAGTGTATAAGTGCTCCCTTTTCTCTGACACTTTCATCAGCATCTGGTATATTTTTACTTTTTAGTAATAGCTATTCTGACTGGTTTGAGAGGATATCTTATTGTGGTTTTAATTTGCATTTCTCTAATGATCGACACTGATGTTTTTAAAGAGTTGTTTTACAGTATATCCCTCAATTTGGAATTTTTTATTGTGTTTACCCTTGGTTAGATTGAGGTTAACTATTTTTGCAAAAATACCACATAAGTGATATTGTGTTCTTCTCAATGTATCACATCAGAGGGCATATGATGTTATTTTATTCCATCATTGGTGATATTAAGTTTGTCAATTTGGTTATAAAATGGTGTCCATCAAATTTCTCAGCTGGATAGGTACCTTTTAATTTTTTTTATAATTAATTAGTGATATGTGGAGAGATTTGAAACTATGAGGATATGCTATTCCCAAAACAATTTTATTAACCATTGGTTTCCAACATCCATGAATGATCCTTGCCTTCAATAAATACATATTTGTATATATATTGTATAAGTATATGTGCATACATACATCTATATGGATCATGAGACTTACACTTTCAATACATTAATACAGGTATCTTCATTTTCCTCCCCTACTTCATATTTTGTATTTTCCTTGTCCCAAAGTGAGAAGCCTTAGTTCCCAACAGCATCAGTATATTTACCCATCATCTAAATCTCAAGATACACATTAAAGAATTTTGGAATTATTACACTATTACCTAAGTGCTAATTAATTTTTTTGAAAATCCACTCAGGGAAGCAAGAGAAATGTAGTTAGTCTCATATTGAATAACAAATTCTTTTTAGCCAATATTCTTCCCTTTAAGACTCTACATTTTCTGCTTATAAAATTAGTGTAGATCAAAATTGATTCTAACATTAATGTAAAATGCATTGTTTATTTTTATTTATCTTTAAGTCATAGGTCTAAATGGTTCTGAAGTTGTTCTGCTGATAATTTTGTCACTATTTTCAACTTATTTTAGAAAAAAATACCTTAACTAGAATATTGGAGAGTCTCTTCTGATTTGTTGCTTCTACTATTGTACCCAAAGTTCAGATAGTTTTAAAATTTTAATATTGATAATATTTATTGTGATAGTAATTTTTATAAACAGGTTAATATTTGGGGTCATCTCTAATTTTCGTTCATATATACCTTTTAAGCCTGAAAAAATGGTCTATTTTTAGGAGTAGATGTTATTTTGAAACATTGAGGTCATACCTGCAGTTGTAAACTTTAGTACTATTTAAAAATTTTATTCTACCATTGTGTCTTTTCATGCATTTAAGGTTTCTTATCCATGTTAGCAGAAACAGGATGCTTTGGTGGATAGAAGTCTTTTTTAGGCAGCTCAGTTTATTGCAGCTGCTCTTGATCTCCCATCTGTTGCTTTAAATGACAATGCCTCTTATTGCTCAACCTGTGCATGTGCGTATAAAGTTTCCTTCTCTCATAGTAACACAAGAAGCCATAATATAAACCAATACTACTTATAGACTGGACTTGTATTACACTCTTATTTAAAACAGATGTCTTTCATCTTATTATTCATGTTTTTTTTTTCATATTGGTAGAATAGGCTATGGATGTCTTTCCATGAAATCTGACAAGTGTTTGGAAACGTCTCAATTTAATCAAATAGAGACTACATTAGAGTGATAATTCTTTCCCTTAATAAGCTCCTATCAATTTCTCCTTTTTATAAGACAATTCAGTTAACAACACCAAAATCAGTACCTACATTTTTGTTGAAATTAATATCTATTCAACAAAATTTCATTTTAAACCTTAAAACAGAAATGGTAATTTTTATGTTAAGTAACTGTGCTATTATATTTTTATTATATGTTAAGACCCATAGAAGTGTAAATGAGAAAATAGCTATAAGAAAACCAAATACTAACTGGGCTGGTTGACATATAAAGCCAAATGTGCCCCCGGATGGGTCTTTTTTCTGAGAGTGGTAAACTTGTTTGCTTGGGAAAGAATTTTCACTCTCAACTTGCTAGAATTGATTTTACACTGTAACCCATATATCTGAATATACAGTAAGACTCTGAAACAACATTTGAACAAGGTATTTCCACTATTTTTTCTTGCTATTTATCAAGATCTGTACTTACAAAGCAACTTAAGTTTCCTCCTCTGAAGCTGGATGTACGTAATTCACAGTAACTTAATCATCACTGTGTAAAATAGTGTAAATAATATACACAGACTAAAAGTAATAAACATACCATAAATTTTCTGTATTTTTAGCACTCTGATAGTTTATATATTAGGCTTGGAAAAAATAAAAAAACAAGAGTTTTCCTCCTAGAATTCCCACCACCTCTTACCAATTGCTAAATATTGTCACACTTTTTGTCTTCCAGAAACTGAGATCGGAGTAGTACTCTCGGCTAAGCTTCCTGGAATATGTTTGGCTAACAATATAGTGCTTCCTTAGTATTTATTTCAGTAAAATATACCCTGTGGAAGTTTCAGTAAATATTTTTAAATACCTATATATACAGATACTTTAAAAATACCTATTTGATTGCAAGATGTGTTGGAAAAAATGCTTGGAGAAATTTAAACATATTCGTAGATTATTTTGAGTAGAAGCGAGAGCTCACTCTGAAAATTCTACATTTTTCCATTTCTCTTTAAAAATAGGCAGATCTCTCAAAAAACCACTTCCTTACGCCCCAAATCTTCAATTTGTGTCTTTTAAGTTTTAGATCTTAATCCAAAGAACCCTTTAAACTTTATCAATAGCATTTTCCTCATCTGCCACCAGGTGGCAGGTGGATCCACTTTTCGGAGCGCGACCCCGACCCCGCCCTACCGGAAGCTGTCATGCAAAGGAAATCTCTCTGGCCACGCCCAGAGTTCAGCACCC